TCCCTCTCTGAAACAAGAGCTGAATTGGGAGTCACAGACTAATAGACATTTTGATAAAGGGTTTCAGCATCAGGTAGAGCTGATGCACCAGGCAGCTCCCCAAAGCGCCGTGATACTTTGCTCCTAATGCGGCACGTAGGGCAATTCTAGTAATTTAAAGTAATTTAAAGATAAGGACCGATATTTAAGCTATAGATGCCATTTATCAAGGTATGAGCGTGGATTTTTTAAATAAATGGAATGGCTCCGAGTGCTTTTTTTAAGGCAAGTGACACCTCCTGCAGCTCCAGAACAAGAAGCGCCTGTGGGTCAGTCAGTTACTTTATAGGGCAGCAAGTGTATTAGTGCTGTCAGGTTGTTTTTTGTTCTGTTGGGTTTGCTTTTTCTCTAATAAAGCATGAGGGTTGCTTCCTTATTTTAGAGGTAATCACAGAGCACAAAACAAAACCAAGGAGAAATAGCCAGGCTCTTCTCTCACCTGCACACCCCGTGCCTAAAGTGTGTAAGCAGCTACACTGCAATCAGATTTGTAAGTATAATCAAGAATATCCCATGTTCTTCATGGCCAGAGGGTCAACAGATAAAACGTAATACTGCGTCACTAAATGGCCAACTATACAAAAAGGACATCCCGACTCCAGGGCATCACTTCAGTTCAAGGCAAATTACAAATTCACTCTGACAAAACGGAGCAACGCCAGCGAAATCCAGTGGTGGAGAAGAGCTAGCTTATGTCGGGGTAAGTCGGCCTCTCACACAACGCTGCCAGGAGCCCTCCTCGGACGTTATCTCTGTTTTTCAGCCCTAGAGCAAGTTGTCTGCTAAGCCCCAGGCCTGAGGACAGGATTGCAAAGGGGAATAAATACACTGTGGAGATTCTCCCAAAATTCCTTCACCCCAATGCATTTGGACAGCCCACTTTTCTTCTTGGCTGACAGGACAGAAAATGACTATTTGGGTTTGCTCAGGATTTGCTCCTTAACCAAAGTCACAAATCAGAGCAGAAAAACTTTGTCCATGTTTGAAATTTGCGATTTTGTCAGCGTAGGGCAACTTCCTGAAGCTTCACATTCCCAAAGCTCATGCTATGCATTTTCTGAATTTTACCGAGTACAGCTTCTCTCTCCTGCTTGCCTTAAAACTCACTACAACTAAAATATACAAATATCATATAACTTGGGAAAATACATAGTTATGCAGCAAAAGTAACAAAGATGACAAAAAACTAGATCTTAATCCTGTAGCATCAAATGTACTTTCACTGGTTGACCGATCTTAACACTTGAAGATGTTTTTTTGTTTCAGCAGTCATTCAAACATCATCTCAGACAGGCCCAAGTATTTTAATTCTTATTATGCCCTGGATGATGTGCCAGAATTATAACACTTCCAACTAAAAAAGAAACAAAAACAACCTAAAAAAAAAAAAAAAACACTTACAAGCACCAGAGTCAGTTTTGAACCTCAATTCTTGTTCAAGCTGTGCTTATCATCAGTACATAAATAAAACTCACCCTTGGCAACAAAGCTCTTACCTGCACGAGGAAGATGATGAGGAAGTAGAAGTTGGCAATTCTTCTAAACTGCTCAAAAAGGTTCTTCGGGAGGAAGTTCCAGAGGGTGTACTGCGGGGAGAGAGGGGGGCTCACAAACAGACCAGGGCACGGGGCTGACTGGGGACTAGAGCTACGAAATGGGAAGTATTGGTGCAAAACAGGGAAGGAGTTTTCCCTTTAACCCGGCGAGGAGCTCCGCCGCGGGCTGTCTGGGCAGCCCTGGCGCGCTCCAGGCAAAGGTCCAGGTCCCCGCTTTAAAACCGGGAGCGCGGTGCAGCTGGATGCCGAGATACCGCTGAGCTCCCGCTTTGGCTTCCAGCTCCGGCTCTCTCCGCTGGTTGATTGAACAGTTGGAAGTGTCTCTCAGATATGCGGGGGTCTTTTGTTTGTTTGCTTTAAAGCAGGCAACTATTTCTCTTTTGTCAGAATAACCCAAAACCACACAGTTGGAGATGGTGAAGGGTAAAAGAAGGTAAAAACAACAGGATTTGTTTCAGCAGACAACTTCTAGATAGGCATTTGTAGAGACATGATTTCATGAAGAGGTAATGCACAGTGCAGAGATTTTTTTTTTCCCCAAACTAATTCCAAAAACCATCTTAGAGTTGTTCTTCTGTTAAAAAAAAAAAAATCCCCGTTGCCCATACAAATTTGTTACTGGGTTGTGCTCCATTATCACTTTAGGAAGGCTGCTGGATCATTTGCTTTGGAAAACATGTGGAATTTAAGAACACCATGGAAAATAATGGGTCTAATAATATCTGATCTTTCAGTCTGCCTCGAATAAACAAAAAATAATAAGCAGCCAAGTCTCAAGATCAACGTCCACTTAATTATAAAGAGAGACTGGTCAGGTAAGATGACTCCATGCATAGCAAATATAAACAGAAAAAAACAGCACGGACACAACATGCAAAAATAAATCAGGGAAGAATTAAAATTAGTGCTAAAACAAACCATTTTGTCAGAGAGGGAACTGCAACAGGGGAAGGTGTCCTCTCTGAAGGACCCTCTTGCGTGCCCGGGTAATGTCAATGGGAATGCTACACAAGTTAAACACGGTTAGACTTAAAACTTTTCCCCAACGTAAACTGAGACAGCTGAGAGACATAAAACCAAGTAAGATCCAAGCTGTATAAAAAAAGGAGTGGGAAAAACCCCCTTACAGCTCAAGTGCAGTAAAACTGAAGCCTAACTGTACACCAAGCATCACGAATCCTAAGCAACCTAGTGTGTATCCAGCTGTGTTGACAATATCGGATGCCACTTGTTTGGTATTTTACTTGAATTGGCTTCACATCTTCTGAAAAAGCTTCATGAATGTCATGGAAAAAAGCTAAGCAGAAGGCAGACGGGTGTTATCACAGTTTTCCACCATAAACAAAAGCTGCATTAATACCATATGAATGTTTCCCCTTTCATCCAAAGGGATAAACAGAACATGGTTATTTTCATCCTATCTCAAGAGAGAAAAAAACCCACGGGAAAAAAAGAATAGGGAATCATATTTTTCTGTCCATTTATAAAATAATCCCCACTCCCTTTTGCAAATCCGAGTTGCTGTCATCTCATGTTGTATGATACTTAACCTGTCCTTTCTTCACTGTGAGAATGCCAGAAAACGTTAAAAAAAACCCTCACCCCAAAAACCTCACAAAATGAATGTGTTCATGTTATTTGCTCTCATCCAGCCTAGGAGGAACTTGTACACATCCCACCTGGGACTGATAGGAAGGAAAAAAGACCAATAGAGAGACTGGAGCTGTGGTGTAAGGTATGTACCGGGCTGCTCCACTTCAAAAGGGACCTTTAGGTCCGTCCTTGAGGAATTCATAGTGTCTCAACGTCAAAAACACCCATCATATAAAATCAGGGTGAATACACGAGCAGGGAACACGTGCACACAAAGCAACCCGGACAAGTGGAGCAAACTCACCTTGGAGGAGACGATCCTGTTGTCGCAAAACTTCTGTGCCACGTACGCATCTGTTTCCAAAACTGGACGGTGCCCAACCACCACAGTGCGCGTACCGACCCGCTTCTCTTCTCCAGCACACTGTTGGGGCAACCAGGAAAGGGAAAAATTAGCTTCTAGCTCAAAAAGAGTCAAATATTTGTATTAACAGCTTCCAGCTTCTGAATGCATCATGCTGTTCATTGGAAATTAAGGCAGCCTGGAACCTCAAAAATTCACTTCTGCGCTCCAGCAAAAGCACAGAGAACAAAGAGGCACACATAAGACCATTTATCAACCCAAGGCAACAGCGAGCCTGCAACCTGGAGTCCCCACCGCTGCTCTGCACCGACCCCCCACGACCACAGCCCATCCTACACCCCCCCAGGGCAGGTCACCACTTGTGTCCACCGTACTCCTGCCTTCGGCGGGACGGCTGCTGTCTGTACTTGCAGCCTGTGCCCGTCCGTCAGGCAATTTTTCCTTCTTGAAGGCGGATATATCTTTATTGAGCACTTCAAATCATTAGGAATGTTATTTATCCTGTACACACCTTTTCCTAGTCCCGACCTGGAGAGTCCTTCAGCCTTGGGTTTCTACAGCAGCTCCAGGCTTTACCCCAGGACCCCACAGAAGATGACGGAAACTGCACCCTCCTTTACACTTGCTCTCCAGTCAAACCCTCAAGTCCACCCAAAACGTCTCACCACCGCATTGGCGCACGCAGACTTGGGATTTAGCTTTAAAAAAAAAAATGTACTTCTGCTATTTTAAAATCTCAGATAAAACCAGAAATAATGAAGCAGACAGTTTTGCATCACAGACTCCTCAAAAAGACACGTGGGGTGCTGGGAACGCCAGCTTGTCTTGCTGGGGGGTTATGTGAAAGCAGAATGAGCTGTCACAAATGAATCAGCCCCTCTGCTCCACAGCGGCCACGGCAAGGACGAGGGGAATCGCCGCAGAATAAACTCGGAGGGGAAGCAGAGTGGCTCTGCGGGAGGAGAGCGTCCCTTGCAAGAAGCCACAAGAGAGACTTGCAAACAGCAACACGAGGCTCTAGCAGAGACCCAGCCATCGCCGCGGCCCTCGCAGGCTTCCCAGCGGAGGTCATGGCACCCAGCAAATTAAAGATAGATCCTCCCAATCCAACGGAGAGCATGTTAACATAACACAAAGTAAACAAGGTATCTGAATATAATGAAAGTAAGAGCTCTTCTAATTAAATGTAACTTAGATACTGAATTTCCAACTTCCTGTAACTTCATTTAAAAACACTTGCAAACTTGTGACAAGGCAGAGGCAATGCAGGTCCCTGCCATCGCCTGCAGCCCTCGGGAAGGCTCAGGTGGACGGGGCAACACCGTGGGCTCCCTTTCCATCAGCTGCCAGCTCTGGGATGGCCAGCCCATGCAAGGTCCTTGATGGATCAGAAAAGTCTATTTTCAAGAGAAACAAAAGCATGCAACAGTTTAAAAATCAGCTTTTCATTCTGTCCAGGTTCCACCTTGCATATAACAAAATGTCCCTGCCACCGGCGCTCGCAGCCAAGGCAGGAGACCCGGCTGGCACCAGGAAGCATTTTGCAAGGCTGAACTTAAAATTATAAAATGAATTTTAAATGACCACTTAGAGGAGATGGAGTGGGAGGGGAAAAAAAGGGTTGTCTTAGGCCAGGCTAAAGTTTTGCAAGAGTTAAGGTTTTGGATTTTAAAACACGAGCAGGGAAGACATTTGTCACTGTTCATGGTTCAAGGGCATTAGCAGGTGGCAGGGCTGCTGAAACACCAGCAATACTGTTCACACTCCGCTTAGTCGTATTAATCCTCAACCCTAGAGCTTGTTTGCTTTGAAACCCCACCAGGGCAGGTGCCAAAATGCCAAATCCCTGCCCCGTGCCAGCTGCCCAGCAAGGGCTTAGCCCTGGGTCCGGCTCAGCATCCTCGTTGTCCGATGGGCCCGTCGCAGGCAGCTTGTCAAGCTGCAAGCAAGACCCAGCTGGAGAAAAGGTGCTCTGAAAACAACCACGCTTAGGCAGCAAGGCCTGGGGCTAACTGCTGCTCGGGGAAAGTGTAGGAAAAAAATATATAAATTAAAAACATTAGAAAATTAGAATGTAAAAATCTAAGCCAGCCCCATTCGTGTACCTGAGGCAGTGGCAGCTGAATGGATCCTGTTGCACCAGGAGCAGGATCTGCCCAAAGGAAGCAGCAGCTCTTCCTTCCCCAGCTCCCCACCCATGTCTGCAGCATCTTTAATTAAAGACGTTGTTTTTACACCATGCCTAAACCCGCGCTGGTGTGCTGACCGCTCTGGCTACAGCCAACCTCAAGGAGACCATCCGTAGTTAACCATGGAAAACCCAGAGCACAGAGCAGAAGAGAACCCAAATCCCAAGCGCGACCCCATGACCATGCCCCACCGAGTTATCCCCACCAGCTCCTAGGTGGGCTTTCACCCTTTGACTACCCTTCAGTTACTTATTTGAAGCATCTCCCACAAAGACAACGGCAACCTCCTCCATGGTGCGTCAGAGTCCTCTGCGGTGGCAGCACAGGGAGAAGTCCTCGCTCTGTGGTCTAAACAGACTCCCACCACTCCTGGCATTTACCTTCCCATTCTCCTGCCCATCCCACGGCGTCACACCACCACGGAGCCACATGAGCAGCTGGAAGGCTTCACGCCACCATTATTTTTTTTTTTTCACCTCCCAGAAAGCGAGAGCACACCACAATGATGCCAGCGGTGAGAGGTGTTGGCTCAGCTCGGCAATTAAAAGCTCTTATTTTGACAAGCCCACCCCAAACGGCTGCTGATAGATTGCTAAGTCTTAATAACGGCTCACAATGGAGACTTAAGAGGAGATTTAGGGAGTAGCTGCCAGGCTTTTGGGAAAATTATAAAATATGCAGATTAGCGGGGAGAGGATTTAGATGACTTTTCCTGACTGCCTTTCATCAAAAATTTTAATTCTGATGGCAAAATAAAAAAAGAAATTCAAATAAAGAAAATATTACTTGGATACAATTCAAACAGCTGCCTTGTTGCCTTGTGGGGCTTTATAGAGCCTGTGCTACGGGCGCGGGAGTCAGCTGGTGCAAACAAAAGCCAGAGTTTCTTCTGCTTAGAGCTGGGCACGCCAAAAGGATTATTTAAGAAAATAAACAATTGCATCCTGCCCATGTGCACTTTATCACCTCCCTCTGCCCGAGGCGTGGTGTCTGCAGGAGCGCTGGGAGAACCAGAGCAATCCGCAGGGATTAGCGGTGCCAGACTGCCTGTGGCCTGGGAGCCACGCGGTGGGAAGCCGCGCTGCATCCTCCCACCAAGCTATGAAGATTTGGGAATGCTGGTGGGTGACCCCAGTCCCCTCCCTGCCGTACCGTGCCCCAGCAACACGGAGGAGGTCCCAGCAGCTGGCAGACACAAAGCAGCACCACGGGGGACACCGCACACCCCGGGAATTGAGAGGAGAGAGGGAAGGAGGTATTTTTGAGAAAAGCCAACTATCCTGTTTGCATCACTTGAAGACCAGCCCCAAAGATGCAGATCTCTCCTGCAATGTTTCAAGCTTCAGTTCAGGGCTCCTGCTCCACTCCTCCAGTGTCTACCCAAGCCCATTGGCGAGCCAACCTCTCAGCAGGGCATCCAGACCAGATTTTTCCTGAAGGAGCTCAGCTGGAAGACAACCACCAGAGAGTCAAACACAAATCACAGGAGATGAAGATGAGGCTAGTGAAGCCATTCTGCCAGGCACGTCCTTCCAAGTCGGCAGGTCGCTGTCTATCTTCACTTCCCACCTCAGGCAGGGTCGGGCACCCAGGCTGCCGTAATAAATAATGGCACCGTCGCCACCGAGGCGGGCACGCACGGCAGAGAACATGCCGCTGCTGCAGCACAGCCTTCCTCGTGCCATGGAGAAATTCAGACACAGAACATATTCCTGTTAAATATTTTGATGTAATCCAATCTCCTATACTTCCAACTTTGTATAAAGCCCACTTACTGCCAGAAGCAGCAGTTTTGAAAAGAAGGCATTAGGGATAATAGCTATTTTCTTACGTTGTCCAAATGTAAAAAGCCCATCTACACACATCAATATGCCCATGGAAGGTCAGCTGAGGCTTGGCATTTTGCTATGAACTTTTCTTTGAGGAGTTAGGAATGGGTACAATTTGAGGGCATCAGACCAGGGCTAAAAACGCCCATGGATGCAACTAATGACCCAACACCATTTATGACGTGAAGCCACCGGAGCATTACATCGAGACGAAGGAATTGCATCTGCAGCCCACAGTACTCCCCAAAATACTTCGCCTGCGTTTGGGCAAGCTCTCCTTCGTGCCTTATATGTGCCTTTCTCCTACGAACGCATCCCTGCCCCGGCACGACAGCTCCCACCTGCCTCCTGGAGAGGCTCCTCTCCATCACCCTCCCAAAATTCTGGGAACCCATCACAGCGCCACGTACAGGACCAAGCCAGCATTTGAGAAAAGTTGCAAACCTGGGTAAAAATTAGCAAACCTGGGTAAAAATTAATGGAGTTCAACAGGAGAGGTGAACCCGTGTTCTGCAGCTGCCATTGAGAAGGAGCCACTCTAAGTGGGTTATTTCTAGGGCAGCTGCAAAACACTGTGTTTAATTATATCCCCCACATGGAAAACAATTGTCTGTGCTACCTGCTGGCCCCATTTCCAGGAAAAAAGTAGCGGCAAAAAAAAAAAAAACAACCCACCATTTGATTTACTATAGTTTCAGAAAGCACCTAAAACAGAACTAACTAATCAAAAGAAACTCCTTTCATGTTTGCTGAACATATCTTCCAGCCACAAAGTAAACACAAATAACTCATAGAAAAAAGATCTAATAAAAACCACAGGCATTTAAAAAAAAGTCATCTGCTAAAACCAGAGATAATTATACGGTACAAGTACAAAGCTCAAACATTTGAATGAAATCAGAGCTTATATTAAAGATATGCAGAAGAAAGATTAAATCACATTACTTGGCTTAGATCTCAGGAATAGTTTAAAGTCTAATCACTCCTATTGTTCCATTTATCATAAAAGTAGTAGAGAAGACGACCTGATTTACAAAAAAAGCCAGCAAAAATAACACCACCTCCCAAAACAGCCTGTTCTAGCTCCTGTTTCATTTAGCCCCAGAAGAACCAAGAAAAACACATCCACAGTTTTAAAAAGCCTCCATAAATTTACCATAAACTCCCCAAACCATCCGGCAGTCTCGGAAAGTCACTCAGCACACCAACCTCACTGCCCAACCAATATATATGGAAATTGAAGTTTTTCTTCCCAAGTTTTCTATTACTCTTTGTCCTTAGTAATTTCTATGCAAGTACAAGCAATGCTTTGAGAAAACCCTTAATAATTTAGCAGCTTGGACCATGCTTACCCACAGAGACCACATTTTTAGGCAGATGTCCTGATTTATAGGGAGAACTCCATCGATCGGGATCCACCCCACCGTTCTCCCCTACATCTGCAGGAAAGGGTCGAGAACATGCACAGTCCTTGGGGGAAAAAAACCCCAAAACATTGCATTTAAAATACTAAGAACCCATAGATCCTAGAGAAAGGGCTGCAGCTGAGCACAGCTCTGAGCAGCTTTCCCATCGGAGAGGACTTTTGCTGCTTACCCCTAAGTGGAAGAGGGAAGGCCAGTACATTGGGAAATCAAAAGGTTAAAATTTAAACCAGTCTCCATTCTACGTTGAGGTTGAAGCTCCTACCGATATTTCAACCACAGGCAGAACAGAATCACCAAGGAGTGACTGCCGGGGGCAAGCTGGCCCCAGCCAAGGTGAGGGGGGCAGCGAACCCCCAGATCAAGCAGAACAACAAGCAAGAGCAAAAGAGGAGCCATGGGAAAAGGACCAACACTTTTTTTTTAAAACCACGTCAACACATGATGAGGCTCAACACCCAGACCTTGTCCCAGGTCCCCGTTGGGGATGACAAAGCAGTGGATGATGCGCTCTAAGCAAAGCATCATTGACCCAGATCACACCATCCTTAATGCAAGTCGAGGTGCGTCCAGCAACACGAGGGGGCCCGTGGGGCCGGAGCCTGTCCACATTGTCCCCTCTGTCCCAAGGACGTGCTGCCTCACCATATGGGCTTGCAGGAAGGTCACCTTCACCAAGGACGACAGGCTGGAGAACAGCAGAGCCCAACTAGGCTGAGCTTCCTGGAAAAGCTGACTTAGCCAATAAAGCCACTGATAAAAGCAGAGACACGACAGGGCGGGGAGAAGAGGGGAAAGGGCTACTTGAAAGATGTAAGAAGGGTGGAGAGAGGAAATACAAGAGGTTTTTTTTCCCCAGACAATAAATGTACAGGAGGGCCCAGCCCTGTCCCAGACTCTGTGCACCACGCACTGGAGTGACGGCCAGAAAGAGTTTTTTTGGTGTGGGGTTTGGTTTGGTTTGGCTGGTTGTCTTGGTCTTTTTCCATGCAAAAGCAGTCTACCCCCAAATCACGCAGTATTGCATCTTCCCAACAAATATGCCACATCGTCCCTAATCACAGCGTCAGTTCAGCAATGCTGGGCAGAAAGCCAGAATCACACGTGATGCAAAAAGCCAAACCCAGGCCAAAGCCAGCAGGTATCGACTGGGGTAGCATTGCTTCAGTGCTGCTGTTCTGCGGAAAATCTGTTGCTCCTGTTCAAACACAACCACTGACCTTTGGAAGTTTTCAGGATCTCAAATCTTTCTTCCCTACCCTGTTGGCAGACAGGGTTATGAAACCATCGCTCATCGTGATATACAGGCAGCATATTCTTATTTTTGGCAGTCCAAAAGAAAAGTTCAACCAGCATATAAGATTCAGGCTCATAGGAACACTTCAGACTTGAGAACACAAAAAGGACTTTGAATAAGAGCCCAAATGTTTTGCAGAGGTCACAAAGCAAATACAACGAGGTCTTCCCATTTTCAAACCTCTTCCTCCCTCCTTTCCCCGGCTCAAGCTGTGCACATATGTCTGCTGATCGGCAGCTATTTTAGCAAGGCAGCAAGCTCTTCAGAGCAGTGATTTGCCCTGGCAAAAATTAAAGTAACAGCAAACTAGAAAAAAACTCCAAGTTTGCAATTGTCAGTGCTTGCATCAGCCAGCAGAGCTATAATTTGTTGGTTTTCCCATTGCTTTCCGGTCCTCAGAAAGCCCGAGCTCTTCAGTTATGGAACAAACAAAAACCCTTAAATACTATGTTATGCATCCCAGCTTGGCCAGACGTTACTCTGACCTCTGCCACCTAAAGACATTTCCCCCCTTTCTAAGATTTCCCAGCATTTCGGAGCTGGGCTGCCAGCTGACCGACAAGGAGCCCATTTCCCAGAGCAGTTTCCTCCCCTTCCCCACCGGGAAGCAAGCCCGCCCGGCCGCCCACTCGCCAGGGGTGGGGGCTGCAGACCCCCCTGCCAGGGCGTACATCGCTGCTGCAACACCCCGAAGCAAGGGCTGGTACCCAGGCCTGCCCAGCCCGCGTCCCCCGGCTCGAGCTTTCCCCCAGGGAGCCTGTCCTAGTGCCCGTGCGACCAGGGAGGGACGGGAGGGCAGGTCCAGGCTGCGGGGGGTGGCCTCAGCCCCTGCAATGGGTACCCGAAGTCCAAGGTCCCAGCCGCCCCATGCTGCTCACTCACACTGGTTCGGATTAGGTTTTTCCACTCCAAAAAAGTAAAAGCTGTGGTTTTCTAACCCTCCCCTTGCTGTACTGTAGAGAAACATTTCCACAGAAGTAGCAGGAGATAAAAGCTGGAAACAAGGGAGAAATCACCTACTTCACTCCTTGCTCCCCAGCCAAAATCAGCTCCACCTGCCCCAGACCCCATTTGGAGTATTTTCATCTCCAGATACTATAGTAACCAAGAGATTCATCCTTGGGGCTGCAGGCAGAGTTACACTAGGATACTGGATCAGGGCAATTCACCCAGTCAGGAGAGAAACCCGCAACATGTGGCCTAGAATTGTTTATCTTCAGGAAATCCTTCTGGCTCACATTCCTGCCAGGCTGGGTAACGTGGCTGCGGAGCAGCTCCGGCAAAGCACACACTGCCCGGGGTTGTCCGAGCACCCGCGCCACGCAACGCCAGCAGCACAGCAGCCAGGTTTTGCACCCAGGAGGGAAACCCGTTTCTCCATGGGGACCTGGAGGTGGGCTCCGAGCTGGTCCCGGGGTGCCAGGCTTGGTGCCCCAGAGGTTTCGGTGTGGCATCCTCAGCTGCAGAAGCCAGCGCATCCTGTGCGGGAGAAGAGGTCAGCATCCCGGGAGATGATTCGTGGTCATCCCCATCCCACCAGCCGCTTTCCCTAGATGGGTACTGGGGTAAGGGCGTTCCTGCTCTCACACTTTATCAAGACAAGTCCTTCACCCAAGGTTTCCTCTCTCTGCACATCTGAGCCTCCCACCCTGCACTTACTGGAATGGTCAAGTGGAAAGTCCCACTTCCATCCGTTCAAACGCACTGGAAGAAACCGCCCCGTGGAAGTGACGTACTCCACAATATTAATTTGGCTGATACAAGGACGACAGCCCTCTGGGCATCGCAGCTAATTTTACTGCGTTCCCTCCCTGAGCAAACATTTATAAGAAAAGGTGAGCTGGAAGGAAGCGGGGAAAAAAACCCCAACAACAAAAAAAACAAATAAAAACCTTCCACGACTCAGAGCGAACAAAACTAGCATGCGAAATACCATGTTGCGAGCCAGACCAAAAAAAAAAAAAATTAATACTGCTTTTAAGCTTGGCTTTGCAGCCCCTGTAAGAGCAGGGCTGCTGCTGAGCAGGCACCCCCAGCACAGCCCAAGCACCCCCAGGACCTCACATCACCCTGGTCTCAACAGGCAGCAGCCACTCGGCTTTGTGCTAATGCTGGGGAGGAATTACACAGAAATCATAATAAAAGATGGCAGGGCTGCTCACAAAGAGGATTCCCTCCCCCCCACCCCCCATTTAATTTCCCAGCAGGGAAAGGGTTTCTTTTCCCCTCTTAAGCCAACTGAGGCTCAGGCAACAAAGCACAGCGTCGCTGCAGTCTAACGGTACTTAATTTTTACTAGTGCTGAAAAGATCACAGTTTGCAATACCAAAGAAATGCTTCAAATTGTCTAGTCTTGCCTGTCGCGCACCTTACTCAGCTTTTCTAGGTCCTGTACAAGAAAAACAGGTTCCCCCTGTTCTGCAAATCAGTGCAGTTGCCACAATGCTGCAAACAAAGAGCATCTACCGAGTGAGCGTTGCCTCTGCTTTCCCCTTTTCCTTACAAAATCTTAGTAAGGTATAGAGCATATTTTAAGATAGGCCAGACACAAAGACTGCTTGCTGACCATCTGAAAATACACGGCTAGAAGTCAGCAAGCCCTCCACATCCCACTCTCCGCAAGCAAGGCTGGAGCCAGACCAAGGGCCCTTTCGCTTACAGATCCTGCAAAAATTCAGCTGAAATCACAGAGCAAAAAGCCCGCAGAGAAACATTACCCATCCAAGGCCACAAAGGAGTTCAGGTTGTAAGCAAAAATAACGAGCCTGATTTGCTCCCAAAATACCCTAGCCTCACAGGTGCTTACCCCTCCTTTCTGCTGCAGGAGGAAAACAAAAAGCCCTTTACAAACAGCCGGATCAAAAATAAGTGCATTAAGCCTTCATTAAGGAGAACAGGACAAATGTCTCTGAACTACAAACGTTATCAATTATGGCTGGACGTCAAGAGCAGGCATGCTTTTAGACTAAAGTGGCTTCGGTTGGAAGTCCACCTCAAACAAAATGACTAAAGTTTTGGGGAAAAATGACTGGAGTCAGCACAATACAACAGGTGCCCAAAACAGAGACAGACTAAAAAAAGACTTTTACGGAATATTGGTCCTGAGCAGCATCCGTGGCAGACAGCATCCCTATGAGAGCATGAGGTAAGGCGGAGGGCAGGGAAAGCACAACCCAGCACTGCTTCCCTTCCACCAGTGAGCCCCCCACTAGTGCATCGACAGCTCCTCTCCCCACCCAGCCCCACTGCCCAGCTGCAGGCACGCAGCTTGATATCCAAAAGCACTTTACGGCCATCGAAGCAGCACCTTGTGCCAACCACCGGTCGGCAGCTCCCTGGATTTCGGCTAAGCCCAAGAAAGAGCCCATAAGCAAAAATAAATACATAGCTATTTAATGCATCTATATATATTGCAGATATGCATATTTAATGCATATATATTGCATACATGTATATTTAATGTACATATATTGAATTCATTGCAGCCTCTGGGCAGAACAGGCTTTTCCTGATCCAGCAGCCTTGCCGCAGGATCTGGGCAAGACCTTTTGAAATAGGAAAGTTTCACCGTTTCCTCAGGCTACAAGTTAGTAAACTCAGCTTTAAAACAGCTTACGGCTTACTGCCCACCCCCTGCAGCGTGCAGAAAAAGGGCGGGGCCCCCCGCCCTCCCCCCCCTGCCACGAAAGGGTGACGGCAATCCATGTAACAGCTCCACGCATGACTCTTGGGAGTCCAGTTCATTAAAAAAAGCAAAATACTAACTGCCCAAATCAGTTAGAACTAACCAATTCGGGCAAAGATCAGTGAACAACCTGCTTGGTCAGATGTTGAATAATTCAAAGCAGCTCAGCAAACTGCAGTGTGAGGTAACCATTACCGAAAGCAGCCGGGGCTGCCTGGCGGTCGCAGAGCCAGCCTGCGGAAAGGGTACAGGGAGTCACAGGAGAGAGATTATTATATAATAATTTAAAAAGATTAAAAAGTGGAAATGGCCTATAATCACCAGCAACATGAGCAGCAGTGTCCCTATTATCCATTTCCAATGAGTAGGACACACTTTCTGGCTGGCACGGCGTCCCTAAGGGCAAGTCGCGGTCCGAGCACAGCACACTTCACCGACGTGTCCTTCGTACAGCACTCGCCGCTAAGAACCTCCCAGTGGCGTGAAAAGCTGCAAACCTCTGGGTGAATAAGGGAACACGCTAAAAAACACTGAACCTCAGTACGGCTTGACAAATAAAAACGGGGG